TGGTGAATATTTTTTCAGGATTCTTTAGAAAGATCAGCATTTAATTGAACAAAATATTTTGTAATATTATAAACGTTTTGATTGTTTGATACTATTTATTATTTATTTTTATCTAAAAGAAAAAGCATACTGACACCACAGTGTATGATCAGTGAAAATATAATTATGTAAAATTTAATAAATACAGTAAAATAAACACAGATATCAAACACCCACAGACGACAGAAAAGACTAATGTGACTTCCATTTTCTTTCAACTAGCTCATGGGAAAAGACAATGCAATAACCAGCATTATAAATGGAACAGATTTGTGTTCATCTGCCAGCATAAGTCTTCCTGAAGACTGACTGGAATCAACGATTTCCCTGGGCTCATTAGAGACTAGATGTGTAGAGAGATGTCATATAAACAGTCCAGCATTGGAAAGCCACAATGAAAATCAACACTGTTGGGAACGCTCTTATCAGGGGTGCTGTGCTATTTATAGACAGAAGAAAAAAGAAAAAAAAACTTGAATGCCATCCAAGTTAAGAGACGGTTACATTTGTGTCATTAATACAACACACTCATAGTGTTAAAAATGCAGATCAATTTCAGGCCAACCATAAAACTCAATCTTCACAAGCTTAAACTGGATGCTCAGTGAATACCATATGAATGAGAATAAACCTTAATTTGAAACTTCCATATTTAAAGACCACAACAACACTATACTGTTAAAAAATATATTTTTAAAAGTTTAAGGCAGCTTGCTGCACAGCACTTTTGAGTTGACTCAACTTTTAACCCAATTATGCACTTGAACTAATTTAAGTTGTCAACTAAAAAAAATTCTGCAGCAAGTTGCCTTACAATTTTAATTTGAGTCAAATCTTTACAGCGTATTCCACCAGTTAGTGCTCTACAATAGCATCCAATAAGATAATATTTATAAAGCATACAATTCTATTTTATTCTGTTTTGCATCATAAGACTTTTACAAATCCTTTTCATTGGATGATACAGTATTTTAGCAGACCCTAAACAGTGGATCCCTGCTGGCTTTAAAACCTTTTTAGACGCAACCACGTTTCTAATGACACCACAGTGTCAAATGAAATGTCACAGAACATTAGTCTAAGTGTAAGGTACTTCAGCGCTGGTAACCCCATGACTTTCCTCTTTTACACCCACAGGCCAAACAACCCCCTATTATTATTACCATCATTCATTTTAAGAGGAGCAGTGATTTTGTTATCTGTGCTTTACTGTACTCTACCTGTACTGAACAACTAAAACAAGTTTTCATTTTAACACTTAAATCTTACTTTTTTTTCTAATTTTCATAACAATTTCTACATCATTAATTTAGGGGCCTCTTAGATTAGATTTCTATATTTTCCAATGTCATTCCTGCCAACATGCCAAAGTCTCTTTTGTTGCTGTTACCTAATTACCGTCTAATGCATTCTCCAGATAAAAAGTATTATTTTCCTTCGCAGCTCCTTTTCATCCAAACCACCCAGAGGTATTTATATCCCTCATCTGCTGCTTTCAGTTTGAACTGAATTGCAAGTTCATGCTTTCTGTGTGCCATCTGTTCCAGTCTGAGGTGCTCTCGGCCAAGAGAAACCCTCATTTCAGCACCTAGCGCTCAACAAGAGCACACACAGTGATACACAATGGCATCTGCCAACAACATCTCAGCCAATTCAAAAACCCAGTATATTTGTCTAAGAAAGGCAGAAAATACACTTGTGTATCATCTGTTATATATTATTAGTACTGCTCTGTTTCAAACATTTGAAAACTTTGCCAACACTGAAAAACACACTATCAAATGAACAACCCAGGCTCATCATTGATACATGCATTTCTGGAGATCACAAAATACATCTCAGCAGGTATGTTTTTTTTTGCAGTTTTTGCTTTCGTGAATCCGCTGTGTAAGATTTTTCAGATCTCAAATTTCTTTCATTCGCACCTGCTGTTCTTGCCGAAATCCACCAGAGGCTGCTGTCGACTGACTGACTGACCTAACGACGATATCCTCCAACCATCCTCTTGCCTAGGCCAGACCGATAGTGTTTTCAAAAGCAATCCAGAAAAAAAAGCCCTAGCCTGACTATTACCATACTTTCAGCTCTTACCACATTCTCACCCTGTTGTTTATTTGTTAATTTGATTTTTTAACTTTTGTTTTTGTTCTACTGGCTTTCTGTAACTGTTCTTTGCCGGAACCCTGTCATAGTGGTCAACTACTCTCTGCATCTCAAGTCTGCCAACATACATGGTGAGCTACTGGGCAAACTAGTAAGAGCGGTCAGCTGGTAGCATAAAAAAAAACCGAAGCCATAGCGGCGTCATACCGCCCTGTACCATTCATTTTAAAGATGAAATGCAGCCATACGTTGCTCTGGCTACATAATTCACACTATCCAGAAATGTATACAGGGGTACGTTTTCACAATGAGCCTGTGTAAAAAAATTAAGCATTACGTTGATGACAACACTTCTCATCAGTCTGAAATGACGACAGACAGTTTACTCATCTTTATCAAATCCTGTGGTTCTTTACTCCCTTACTTTTTAAGAGCATTTGATTAATAGAAAATTGTTAATACTGTAAGAAAAATTGTCTTGCATAATTACAAAACACTTAAATAATTAAAGTTAATTAGATTTCTCTAGGGATATGGTGATTTTTATGTATTTGTACAAGCTGTTTGATTCATTACATTGAACTAAAATGGTAATTTAAAATAAATAAAACATATATATATATATATATATATATATATATATATATATATATATATATACACTGTAATAAAGAATAGAACATATTTAATACAAATTCATTTTTTTCACAGTGTTTTTTCTTTAAGACTTAATGAAAAATAAAAATGAGTGGGGGGTGGACCATTTTAAATATAGATCATTTTAAAAAGGTGGCTCTGAAAAATGGTCTTTCTTTATATCCTGTTTTAATTATGCAATAAATAATATTAAATGTGAACTACATCAATAATTATATTTTATTAGGAGATTCTATATTTTTTTTTACCTTTTATTATTAATTTTATTATTATATATTATTAATATTATTAATTTATTATTAATTTATTATTAATTCATTGATTGATTAATTGGCAGTTCATATATCTTAACCATATTTTCTCTTCCCAATATAAACTTTAAGTTTTAAGTTGGTCACTTTTATATTCATAAAAATATTATAAAGTCCCAAAAATGTTGGTTAAGAAGAACCATTTGCATTTTAGTCTGAAGAACATCCAAATGTAAAAAATATAGATATACATTTTTTTCACAATAAAGAACCTTTTGTGCAATGCAATAAAACTTCTCAATCTGAACAATCCAGAAGTAGCAACAGCCCAGTATCGCATGTGTTCACACTCAGAACAAAGTCTCCAGCACTAAACTGGAATTCTCCCTGGCAGATCAGTAAATAGCACCCAGGCCGCCTGTCTCCTGCCAAATAATATTCATCCTCTTAAGTTACAAGGATCCTCCTAATGCGATACTCAACCATACATCTTGATTCATATGCAGAATACACACACTTCTTTATTCCTTATGACAAACCCTCACACCTGTGAAGTACTTTTATAGAAACTCCTCCTGTTGAGCCACCAGACAAACAGAACAAAAGTGAGTACTGGGTACCACCTGTCACTCCACATTGACTGACTGGGCCCTGTGCTACTGGCCTTTTCCTGTACCCAAGACAAACAGACCTGCCACAGACACCTCTTGATTTAGATATTCTTAGTAACCAGTACAGTGAGGCCAAGTGGCTGTCAAAAGCTGCAAATAAAAAGCCTAGAAGAGCGTCAGAGGATTCCATTGTGCATTACGATACTGCTGAGAGTGTTTACGTCACTATAATATGACCAATGCTGTGAATAGTGGCAGGCGCTCTTTCTCCTGACCACAGGCTATGTTGACAGAGGTGCCAAAATGGCAGTGTATCATCCCACTGTGCCACTGTTCGACTTCTTTTTTTTTCTAGCACAAGAGCATCTATTTTTTCAAGAGCCTCTAATGCCTGCAACATACTGGGCCAGTGAATCTGTCCTCACTAGACATCTGAGAATAGGAAGGTGCATTTGGACTGTGCTCTTATTTGACAGATACTCCAACACAACCTCACTGACAGATTCATCATGGTCAAATGCACTCATGCCAATGATATATTTTAATGTTCTCTGGTCTATTGCCTTTATGCTTGCAAGACGTAGACTGCCTCCAGGAGCACTTGAAGAGCTGTAATTACTTGTGTACAAGGAGAATTCGCCTTCTGTGATATGACCTTCCCATCTCTCACAACAACATTGGCAAAATAAATGTCCTTCTGAGCTCATTTATGCTGAATTCCTTGTATATATCGAACCACAATTTCACAGAAACAGCTGCTCAAAAGAAGCATTAGCTATCAGACCTCATGAATAACAGCAGAGCAAAGAAGAATCGACTTGAGTGTAATGAACTGACACTACAATCAATACTGTACATCTACATTGAAAATATGGATTTACAGGATGCTTAATAAAGAAGCATTGGAGAAAGACTATGAAACCATTCAGAAAAAAACATTTTGCAACATCAAAAGTCAATGCAGGATCAAAAATGAATGAAAAAAAACACAATTGTCCAAATCAAAATCTATACAGCATTATTCTACAGAAAAGTCATGTGATGAATAAAATCACCATTCATAACAAACAGCTCTGGATCACCATAAGATGTATACAGGACCAATTCAGCAATACATGCATGAATGAACTTCAAATCATCAAGTATAATTGAGTGCCATATTATTAAAGTATTTCAATGAGCATCAATTTGGTTAAATAAATTTTAAAATGAACTGGAATTGAATTCATGTAAATGTGCATCAGACGACGTTTGTTAAAATCTCAGTAAATTCAGATGCAAATCACTAATGCCGAACCAATAAATAGCTGCCTGTTTGGCCAAGATTTGGGAGTCTTACCCTAGAAACGGTGAGGGGCATATTGAAGTCCTTGCCTCCTTGCAACCGGAAGCCCCAAGGTGGAGGTCCAGAGAGTGACACGTTGTACGAAGTCATTGTTCAAAAAAGCCTTTGTATTGTTTAAGCAACAGAATTTCTCCAAATGGATGGGGAAAATGGATTTGGGAGGGGGCGGGGCACGTACCAAACAGCCTCTGAAAAAAGAAGAAGAAAAAAATGTGTAAAATGCAGGTAACACTCACACCTCTCCAACACGAAAATTAAAAAATCTCCAGGCCAAGCAGGTCAAGATAACCAGCGTAAAGTAATGAATTTAGGCCCACCCAAACTGCAAAGTAGCAACAGAGAAGAGCTACTGTATGAGCTAGAGGAAGAGTTTTCTTGCCTGCTCAGATGAACTGGACAGACAGCCTAAGAATAGCTGCCCCTCTGCCGAGAGCGATAGCACTATAACATTGTGGGGAGGGGGGAGAAATGGTACTTATATGGCATGTAAGGGGACACCCAGAATGCCAGGCCTCCCATGATTCACAGGGCTAATATAGTCCCCTCTCAGACTAAAAGATTTTTCTCGACTCCTTTTCTTCTTGGGTGCCTCATTTATCAATATCATGTAAATCTGTGTCATGTAAATCATATGAAAATTGAATTCATATTGGTAAAGGAGTTCAATTTCTTGCAAATGCAACCTGGCTGATTCTGATAAAGGGTTAACAAAAGGTTAGAGTTAATTGGCAATCCTTGCGGACACAAACACGCTTATCTCATGCATTCACAATGCATTCTGGGACTGAACTGTGTTGCCCTGTTTAAATTACCGGTAAGTGCCTTAAAATTTCATCATCATTCTTCATGCATTGAAATTTGAACACAGTTAAAGTCAGAATTACTAGCCCCCCTGAATTCATTTATTTTTCTCCAATTTCTGTTTAACAGAGAGTAGATCTTTTCAACAGATTTCTAAACTTAATAGTTTTAATAACTCATTTCTAATAACTGATTTATTTTATCTTTGCCATGATGACAGTAAATAATATTTTACAAGATTAGATATTATTCAAGACACTTCTATACAGCTTAAAATGACATTTAAAGGTTTAACTGGGTTAACTAGGCAGGATAGGGTAATTAGTCAAGTTAAGAGTGGTTTGTTCTGTAGACTATCGAGAAAAAAAATAGCTTAAAGGGGCTAATAATTTTGACATTAAAATGGCTTTTAAAAATGTAAAACTGTTTTTATTCTAGCCAAAATAAAACAAACAAGACTTTCTCCATAGGAAAAAATATTAGACATACTGTGAAAATTTCCTTTCTCTGTTAAACATCATTTGGAAAATAATTAAAACGAAACAAAAAAAAAATTCAAAGGGGGCTAATAAATCGGACTTCAACTGTACACTACTGAGTCAGTATACATACTTAAGAAATAATATTTTTATTTAGCAAGTATGCTTTAATTTAAACAAAAATCAAAATAAATACTGTAATTAATTATAAATAAAAAGATTTTAAATAAATGAATGATTCCTGAAGGACCATGTGAAACTGAAGCCTGAAGTATTGATGCTACAAATTCAACATTGTCATCACATTAATTATATTATATTAAACATCATTATAAATTTGCACAAGTGTACTGATCATCAAATAAATGCAGCCTTGGTTCCAACAAGTGCAGCTTCATGAATAATTTAACCTAAGATCCAATCAATACCTTTAAAATCATAGCAACTGTTAAAGCATTTCACTGCCTCTTTTTTAATATGAACATGTCAGAATTGTATAAGATAAGATTTTTCCTTTTTCTTTATTGCACATGAACCACAAATGGCATATATATTAGATAATCCCATACCAAACTTTATTATTGAGCAGCAGCTTTAGGCAAAGAATGAGTGGCATTGAGAAATGCCTGATATGCTCTTATTGCTCTCAGAGAATTGAGATAAGAGAACCTGTTGTGCTCCAGCTCTCTCTGCCATCACAAGGCCTGCGCTGAGACATCGGAGGAAAGATAACCACTAAGGACCTGCCTGTTTGCCTGGCCTAATTTGGGAGACCTCTAGTTAGCAGCTAAGTTTAGCCCTCTTTGTCAATGGAAGAATTTGAAGTAATACTGTACATGAATGCTCAACAATCAGGCCTTCGTAAGCGGCATTTCAGAGAACAAGCATGCCAGTCCTGGACAGTGTGTGACACGGTTCTGATACGCTGCTGCTCATTATGGTGTCTTGACCAAGATGACATACTGCTACAGCAAAAACTGATCTGCCTCTCGATTTAACTATTTACAAAAGCATGAAAAGATAAAGGATTAATGAATGTCAAAGAAAATGTGTTGTCAGACATAAAAAATAAGCGTAATAATGATTTATTTGTTTATTTTCTAGATTTGAATGCATCCTGCTTAATTTTCTGTTCTTCTGAGCCCATTTATTTATTGTTTCTTATATAAACACCAACAAAATAATTTTGATTTAGAACAAGAATCATTTTATTACCTATTAAAATATTCCATTTAGGATCACAATAGTGTAGCTTCATTAAAAATAAAAAAATATATTATCGCTACTTATTTGTAACTTAAAAACTTAATACTTTGTCACTATAGACCAGGGGTCACCAATCTCGGTCCTGGAGGGCCGGTGTCCCTGCAGGGTTTAGCTCCAACTTGCTTCAACACACCTGCCTGGATGATTCAAGTATACCTAGTAAGACCTTGATTAGCTTGTTCAGGTGTGTTTGATTAGGGTTGGAGCTAAAATCTGCAGGACACCGGCCCTCCAGGAACAAGTTTGGTGACCACTGCTATAGACCATTTTGAGGAATGTAAACAAAAACAGTGGTCCCAACGCATTTTCTGTTTTACATTTTTAATTCCTATAGCTTCAGAGAATGCAAAAAGAGCCACATATTGATAAATAACATTATAATAGCTGTTTTAACATTTAAATTTACTCTTGGTAAAGTTATGAAATAGTTTGATAACAAGCAGGAAATGTTCATGCATGGACCAATGACATGACCACATTAAAATGGTCTACACTTAAAACCACAAGGTTTTGCCCATTTGTCAGCAAGACATTTTTATTCATTTAAAATATAACAGAATTATTACAATCACTTATTATTTTATATACTTTATGTTCATCACAATATACAGTATCTATGTTGCTAAATGTATTTGTTATAATGAATGATGATGGAGCATTTTTACTACAATAATTATTTATAGTCATTTCGCGTTCACTACTTCTATTTTTTTATATATATTTATTATCTGTTTCTTGTCCTGTCTCTGTAATTCTGTTGCACAGTAGAAGCTCTGTCACGAAAACAAATTCCTCGTATGTGTGAACATACCTGGCAATAAAGCTCTTTCTGAGCTCTTTTCAGATTTAAAACATTAAAGAAGATGCTTTGCTTTATTTGAATATGCTTCTTTAGTATATAAATTAATTTTTGTAAATATAATTTGACCCACACATTGTCTCTTCATAAGACATTTTGAATAGATCACATTTTATCATTTGTTAGCAGACCAAAAGAGTTGAAAGGAAATCAACATATTCTAAATAAATAATTCACCCAGGTTTACCAGCAAAACATAGACGATACCTGATCTATGCAAAAACAATTTTACACCTGCTCACAATGTATATACTGTAGCTACGATAAACACATACCAGACTGAGGATATACAGTAAGTCTTTGACCAGTTTCTTTGAAACATGCTAAATAATATTTCATGCAAATCTACACATAAGCCAAGACACATCAAAGCACATGAGCATCACTCACTCATTCCATGTAGCAGTATCAAAACCAGAAATAAACATGGCAACGAATTTAAAATGACATAAAAAACGCCAAAGGCAGCTGAAAAAAAGTGTATTTCAGCTTCTAATTGTATTTACAGTCATAAACTGCTAGGTGAGTGAATAATATATAAACAATTAAGAGTAAATGTAAATGTTTTCACGCGACTAAGCGTCTCGAGTGCAGTGTGAAGCCTGCTGCCTCATTTCCATTAAACAAACAACTTCTCAAAGTTTAGCTAAAACCTACATTGCATGCTAAAAGTTGCTTAACACTGACAGCCGCAAACCTTGCAGTTTCTAGTCGCTCAGTTTCCCCCGGACACGAGTTCTGTCACTCACGCCAGATCCCTGCAAGCCCCGGTCTACATAAAGCACAGAGGACACAACTTGACCAATGATACTATGACGAAGGCTTTGCTCATGAATATTAATCAAGGTGTGAGCGGCGTTCCACCTTCATGTCTACTTGATTCGCAGAAACGCAAACTCTGAACTAATCGCCTAGTGAATTAACGAATCACTGTTTAGTGACTGTTTAGTTATTGAATATTAATTAGGTTTTGTGAGAGACAGTTTAGTGGTGTTACCAAGCAACGCCAGAGCGATCTAATAAATATTAAAGAGCTAAATCTTTTTCTCCCATAGTAGGATTGGTAATTTCCCACACGGGACAGGAAGGTGGAGGCGAGGGATTTTCATTAGAGAGGTATTATTAAAGAGACAGTCGTCCCTCATGTTGCCCTGTGGACTGTTTTAAAATTGAGCTTGAACATCCGACGCATAAAAAGAGGCTTAGTGGCTCCCAGACAGTCTGCAAGGCCCAATTTAATTTACAAATGTTTTGAATTAGAAGGTTTTGGGTTTTGCAGATTAAGGCAGCATGATTCTGGAAGTTCTGGCTTTAAGAGTGGAATATTGAAGTATTTATTATAAATGGTTTATCATTGCCTCATTGTAAACTTGTGCCTTATTATTATCAAAACAACATCCCCTAGTTTTTATAAGTCAATTTGTTACTTTAATTGTATAAACTACAACAAATAAAAATTATAACACAATAATACCGTTATAACAAGACATCCAAATAGAAATTAACAGAAAAAAATCTAGGCTTTCAATTTACATGACAAATATAACTACTACAGACAAGAATATGGAATTAGCCGATTTAAGTTGTTTTAATTTTTAATGGTAAATTACATCCTTTTTTAAAGGTGAAAATTGCAATATAATTGAGAGCTAAATGTAGTTAATGAATGTTATTTTATAGCCTCCACCAATGTTCAAGTAGCAGGGTCTGTGTATTTGAAGAGAGACCCCAGAAGACACAACAGTCACAGTGACTGAAAGAATGACTGCTGTTGGTGACACACTTGAGGGGGTTTTCATGCCACATCATGTTATGATGCAAATCCTTCCTCCCTGGAGAACAAACTATAAACTGCCAGAACTGAGGTAAGACAAAGACTCTAGTATACAAGATTTGAAACTTGAAAAAATACTTGAATGTAAAGGAGCCCAGCTAGCGATGTGCAGGTAAACCACACTCCTCTGACCTCTAGGTAAGGTGCTCTAACAACAGACACTAGAAGTCATGATCTT